TCACATTACAGTTGTTATTAACGTCACGTTATATTTGTTAATAATGTCATGTTATAGTTGCTATTAACATCACATTACAGTTGTTATTAACGTCACGTTATAGTTGTTAATAATGAGACATTGCAGTTGTTATTAACGTCACGTTATAGTTGTTAATAATGTCACATTATAGTTGTTATTAACGTCACATTACAGTTGTTATTAACGCCACGTTATAGTTGTTAATAATGTCACATTATAGTTGTTATTAACGTCACATTACAGTTGTTATTAACGTCACATTATAGTTGTTAATAATGTCACATTATAGTTGTTATTAACGTCACATTACAGTTGTTATTAACGTAACACTACAATTGTTACAGTTGTTAATAACGTCACGTTATAGTCATTCTACCAGTGCACCCCACTTTGAAGTCAATACAACATATAAACACTTTAACTATCTGCCTTTCAACGTGCTACCTCAACTACTAATGTACAGTTTTAGCCCACTAACTATCCCACTATTGGCAATGGTACTACTGTACTTTCAACGAAGCAATCGTACTGTCAAACTCACAAACACTCTGTCTGAATACATTGCTCTTCTTAATGGCTTCAGTTGACTATTTAATCTGCGATTTCCTATGACCTGTATCCCAAACACACACCATGTGAAACTGTATGTGGGCACCTGTGCACTCAGTGTGTATGGACTAGTTTACAGTATTTTAGTAAAAACAGTAAAAGTTAAAGATGGTAAAACTTTGTGAAACTTGTGGGAAGGATTTTAAACTTCAATAAAAATTTGTCCTCTCTGTTGCCGTACGATCCTCACAGATTTTCTCATCGTCTGTTGTTTGTCCAGGTTGTCGTCGGCAACGGAGGAGCTGTCCCTGACTCAGCAGAATCTACGGACGAAGGAGGCGCTGGCCGACGACCTCGACACCAAAATCCAGACGAGTCAGCAGAGCGCTGAGAGGAAGAGCGAGTGAGTCAGCTGACGACCAATCAGATCAAAGACCAACCTCCCTGTCCTGTCTGTCTCTGTCTCTGTGTCTGTGTGTCTGTGTGTCTGTCTCTGTGTCTTTGTGTCTGTGTGTCTGTCTCTGTGTCTGTGTCTGTCTCTGTCTTTCTCTGTCTGTCTCTGTCTCTGTGTCTGTCTGTCCCTCTCTGTCTCTGTCTCTGTGTGTCTGTCTGTCCCTCTCTGTCTCTGTCTCTGTGTGTCTGTCTGTCCCTCTCTGTCTCTGTCTCTGTGTGTCTGTCTGTCCCTCTCTGTCTCTGTCTCTGTGTGTCTGTCTGTCCCTCTCTGTCTCTGTCTCTGTGTGTCTGTCTGTCCCTCTCTGTCTCTGTCTCTGTGTGTCTGTCTGTCCCTCTCTGTCTCTGTCTCTGTGTGTCTGTCTGTCCCTCTCTGTCTCTGTCTCTGTGTGTCTGTCTGTCCCTCTCTGTCTCTGTCTCTGTGTGTCTGTCTGTCCCTCTCTGTCTCTGTCTTTGTGTGTCTGTCTGTCCCTCTCTGTCTCTGTCTCTTTGTGTCTGTCTGTCTCTGTCTGTCTCTGTCTGTTGTTTTTTTGGGGGGGTGGGGTAAATATGTAATGAGTGGTGTATATATATGGTTAGGGTTTCTATGTTTGTTTATTGTAAATCAGGAGTTGGACCAATAAATGGTTGGTTAAAAGGTCTCTGTCTCTCACTGTCTCTGTCTGTGTCTGGATGTCTCTGTCCTGATTGTTGGTGTCTTTCGTCCTCAGCTGTGTCCTGCTGCTCAGTCAGAAACTGTCTCTCCTGGAGCTTCATCACGCCGTCCAATCACTCCGCGGCTCCGAGGCCCGCCTCGCCTCCCAGAAGGCCCTGCTGGATGCCAAGATGGCTGCCGCCGCCGCCTCCCCGCCCCCACCGCCGCCTCCCCCTGCACTGCCTTATGAGGACGACGCCCGCTCGGTGGGATCCACGGTAAATATGCAGTTACTGATTGATGGATGATCTGAGGTGACGTCTGTACAAAAGTACAGCGTTTAGCTGATAGGAAGTGCTGCCCTTTCAAAATAATGTCACCATTCAAAACTGTGTCCAGTGTGTCACTTCCTGTTTGATGTGTCTGTGTCGGACCAGGACAAATCCAAGGAGAGAAGTTCTCGCTTCGACACACTGCGTCACTCTCTGGCTGGAATGATCCGCTCCCCCAAAACCATGCTGGGCTCCTCCACCTCGGTCTGTCTCACCTGTCTGTCTGTCCCACCTGTCTGTCTGTCCCACGTGTCTGTCTGTCTGTCTGTCTCACCTGTCTGTCTGTCCCACCTGTCTGTCTGTCTGTCTCACCTGTCTGTCTCACCTGTCTGTCTACCTCATGTCTCTGTCTCACCTGTCTGTCTGTCTGTCTCACCTGTCTGTCTGTCTGTCCCACCTGTCTGTCTCTGTCTGTCTGTCTGTCTGTCT